CATTGCCTGTATGATTAGAGGGTCCCATTTGGTATTTTCATTGCCCTTGAAAGTCACTATTTTCCCCCCGACATTCGTGAAACGTTCATATTATTTAGCGTGATCCTTGAAGAACCCATTCCGTGAGTCGTGAATGCTTTAAAATTGTTCTTCGTCATGCGTGAAACGAAGTCATAATATTCAGGGATTCTTGATCTCCAACTCGTATTTCCTGCTATTACAATGAGATATGAATAGGTTTATTTGTTAATTGATGATTTTATTTTCCGTGAACGGTGCATGATCGCTCCCTTCCTCCCCTTTCCCCATGGAATCCTCTGATTAGGCTATAGGCCTCGATCTATAGGCCTAAAGCTGATGATTCAGACCCACAGCACAACTTTTCTCATATTTATCGCACGGGGGTATTTTCTGACATGACAAATTTAAGAAAGCTGTGAAAAACATTTTTAAAGACACAAATGAGGGTTTGCTAATTATGGATAAAAACAGAGGCACAAACAACCGACAGAATGATATAAGGCCTACGGGATGAGAGATGTAGTGTATTTTCTAGCGTTTGTGGTCGAGGAAATGTGGGACAAGAATGAGTTCTTGCTCTAGGCCTTCGTAAACATATTATTCACTCAAGAATACTAGCGCTTTTTTTTTGGGGGGGGGGGGGGGGTTCTGTTGGGATCCTGTAATCTTATTTTTTCAATTATTTATTTTTGTCTTCTTCGGGTTTTTAATGTTAGGCCTACTGTTAGCTATAAACTTACGTGAGCTAAAAGTAACTTAAATACTAGGACAGGCATGGGAGCTCTATATGGTGAGAGATGACGAAAAAAATTCTGTGGCTAACCAAAGTTCCACCTTGTTCATATTAATCAATGGGTGCTCCGAACCGCGTTTCAGATTTAGACTTCAGTTAAAAAATATCAACCACGGCCACAGAATGGGCCTACGCGACACCTGAATATCTCCGCAAACGCTAAACTCTTTTGTTTCTAAACGTGAAAGGCAAAAATGAGAACAAATTGTGGAACTGAAAACGATGTTAGAACCTTGAGTTTCAGATTCAATGGGGAACTCTCCTGCGTTATCATCCCAATTCTAGCGCATCTTGCTGCTGAATCGGTGACGGAAACCACAGGTAGCTAGAGCAGGGAAACCCACTTTCGATTATAATTTTCTGGAACTCGGGATAGGCCTACATTTTAGACGAGAGGCTTGCCAAGTTGGAACAAATTGATGGATCCTGGGTTTGGTTATGTAGGCCTACTGCTAAGCAATAACCAAAAACTAAAAAAAAAAAAATAATAATAAGCGTGCGACTCAGCACTTCAAAATTTGATCATTTCAGAAGTTGAGATATGCTCATTTTTCCCGTAAAAATGAAACAAGCTCATTATTGGTGAAAAGGGACCAAGATGAGATTACGCTACCAAAATACGTTTCCCTTGACGTTAAACCATAGCCTACTATTTCGGAAATTCTCTTGAATACTTCACCCACAGGCACATCGATATCGCTGCTAATAGTAATATTTACAACTCATCTATTATTTACTTCTTTATTTCTTAGGGATAATTGACGGCTGCTTGGCTGGCAAAAAACGGTGTGCACGGAGTGGCAGCACCATAGGCCTACAGAGTTGCAGGTCGGACCCTTTTCCGTTTTCATAGCCAACATCGGGACCGATTAACAAATGGTACGCAAACGTCAGTGCTATTCTAAAAAGCTCAGATTAATTTGTTTCTACAAAATATCAAAATTATTTCTCAACATGTACCATTTGTTTTAAAAAATTAACGCCGACATATCTAGATGGAGGTTTAGCCATTTTTTTTAAATATGAATATATTAAAATAACCATTGCAATAATTTGTCTCATTTAACGTTCACTTACGGTTCTCAATCTATTCTAGAACATCTCGTGTATTTTTTTTACAGTTCTTATGTTGTTCTGTAATGAATGTAACAGTTCGGAAAGTCCTGGGAAGTCCTTCAGAATGTCCAAGTACAGATTAAGCACATTTCTCATTAAAAGAGAAAAACAGGACAGATTGAGAATCGTAAGTGGGCTTTAAATGAGACAAATTTTCACAGGGGAAATTTATACTTCAGTTTGTCCAAAACCCAGTGATATTGGAATTAAGTTTTATCAAGTTTTTAAAAGAAATATAATGACACACACTGAATACATGTTTATTTACTAAAACAAGATTTCACATAAAATAGTTTTTTATGTAACAAACTTTTCAAGTGAAAATATATTAAGTTTAAAGCAGCTCATACATCAATATGGGCAATTATTTTACCTTATGTGACAAAATAATTTTATATTGCACTCATGAACATTCACATAAGTAATATTTCTCTCCAGTAAAGGACTTAGATAAATGAATTGCATCATGCGTTACACAAGGTGCATGAGACAAAGTTGCTCTGTGTCACTCTCTCTCTCTCTCTCTCTCTCTCTCTCTCTCTCTCCCCCCCCCCC